AGTCACAGTCTAACAACTGGCCTCTTAGAAAATTCCTTGACCACCCCCAGCAGCCTCTTTTCCCCCCTAATTCTACATTCCCAATAGCCATGGCCAACCCCCTACCATGGCTAGATAAAGATAGAAGGTGGGAGTCCAAGGATGGGACTGGGGTGATTGTGGAGGGAAGGAGGGAGGTGCTTCAGTTGAAGTTGTGTTAATTCATAGGCTTGGGTTTGCCCCACCCCTCTCTGCCCAAGGCCCAGGTGAGAAGCATTTAAAACATGATTTCTTTCCACCCAACCAAAGACATATGTCCCTGCTCTGCATGCCACCAAGGCTGTGCCCATCCCAAGCCCCATTTAAACCCCTTTTCCTCATCTTAGCCTAAGAAGAAGCCGAATGCACCCTCTGACCCGGCCACCTCCAAGATCATGCCTTTTGATCTTCTGCCTGAGACTGAGCCCTTTGACCCGAAGCCTGAGACAGTGCCTGAGCCCCCACCTTTTGACCAGATGCCTAGGACACTGCCCTATTACCCAGAGCCGGGCCCCCTGCCCACCCGAGAGGAGCTGACAGCCGGTGGAAGAATTTAGGGTCCCCGGAGGCCTGCAGGGCTGTGGGCGTGGGGTATCACTCTGGTCCACCAGCAGCCAGCTGTTTGGTGGTGGTCAGTGCCGGGACAGTTGCCACCCCAGACCACTGCCCCGTGTGGTTTATGTGGGTATCTTGAAAACACTCTTGAGTTATGCACGGTTAAGACAAATGCGGTGTGTGCAGAACTACTTCGTAGTTTCTGTTTTAATACTAGATGCTCCCAACATGCTACTGCAGCTGCTCCCAGAGGCTGCCCTGCATGAAACTGCGCATGGCTTCTGATTCTTCCCTGCCTCCACCTCCTGGGGGACAAAGTATCTTGGCTCCAAGCCTTCTTGGAAAGGCCCTCATGAGGCCTGGGGTCTGTTCTGTGCCCTCTCTAGCCCCTCCCTATAGCTGAGGAAAACATTTACACTTATTTCTTCCAGTTCTTTTAGGAAATGTTTTGCAAAGAGATCCCTTATGTTTGCCAGAGCCTACCCTGGGCAGGGCACCCAAAAGTAGCCAACTCAGAGAAGCCAGAAAGGGGGACATTTTAGCTGGCTCTGCTTTGGATCCTTGGGTCTCACTGTAGCAGTGTTTCTCAACTTCTTTTTCCTGTGCTCATCCCCCCAAGGAGTCTTTGAAAGTATTTTTAATTTAATGGGCCACCTCCCCCATGAAATTGTAATACAACAGATATACTGCATGTCTGTTTATATGCTGTGGCTCTTTGGAACCCCAAAATCTTTGTGATATTGATTTTTACCCTTTTGGAGGCGTGTCACCCCAGTTAAGAAGGCATGTTATAGTAGAAGGAAAGGACCCTTCTGCCTTGGTGTCTCTCATCTTGGCAACCTAAGGAGGAAGCCCTTTCTGCATCCTCCCACCTCTGCACCCTCTTCTAGCAGACTCTCTAGGCAGACCCTGGGCTCTGAGTTACCTCTACAATGTCTTCTCTGCCATTCCCAGACAGTGGTTGTGTTACCAGGTGAATACAGTCTAGCCGCTTGTCATCACCCAATATGCAGCGACAGAGATAGGTCCACCAAACTTTGTCAGAAGGCCAGCAATTCTGGAGAAGTGAGAGTAGCCTCTCCAAGACTTTTGTTCTTCCATTTCCAAAACCACAGTTTTATACGTCAAAGTTCAAAGCAAAAATCATGTCAACCCTTATCTTAAACAACAATTGGCATAACCCATGACCTATAATAATCAGCATAAACCATGACCCCAAATGACAGTTCTAATTCAAAGTTAATCTCCTAAATCAATAACCCCAAACTCCTCAAGATATACACTTTTAGATTGTAGCGGAATTTATAAAACAATGAGAATGAGGGACATGAGGTGAAGGTCCCATAGCCAGTCTAGCTATATCATCTCAGCCTTAGCCTGACTGACTCCATCTTGTTCTCACTATGTGCACTCTCAGCAGGGGCAGTGCTGGTTAGTTCTAAGTCAGGAGAGGCTTCTACTTAGATCCATGTGCTACCTGTCCTTTCTCCCTAACAAATGTGAAGTGCCTGGGCAAAGGCTGGGCACATAGTAGGTGCTCAATTCAATCATATCTTATAAAAAATCTTACTAAGCCAGAAGATCTTAAGTTTAGACAGCAGGGTTGGGGTGGAGTGGAAGAGGCTGGAAGCCTCTCCCTGGGTTTCCTCTAAGTCCATCCATGTGTAGGGCTTTCCTAGGGTGGGGGCTGTGTGTGCTTGATGAGGGGTGGGGGATTGTGCATGCTTTTGTTCAGACCTGGTCATTAAAGGTAACTCTGGAAACCAAGCCTGTTAGGAGTGGTGGTTTTATTTAATAAAAACGGGAAAACAGAACAAACAGAGCCCTCCCTCTCTGCCATCCCCTGAGGCCCCTCCTTTGGTTTAGGAGCTCTGCCAGGGAAGTAGGGGTGGGACAAGAGTGCTTGGCCTGTGTGCCCAGGGTGGGGGAAGGTGCTTTTGGATTCTGTTGGTGGTTGTAGCAACAGGCAGACTGGGTGGGTCCAAGACAGCACTCCAAGAGTGTGAGTCACAGGGGAAAACCTGGCTTGAAAAGGGGGAGAAAAGAGAAATCCATTAATGGAGGGAAAAGACTAATGGTGATACACCCTCTCCAGAGCCAGCCTCTTGGACACTGTCCAGGGATTCAGGCCATGTTGTTTCTTCCTCTATACCCTGAATGAAGCTCCTCTGGTATGTGTATAAGCCATCGCTCCAAGGGAAGCCTACAAAGAATGGAGTTACATCCCCCTGATACCTTTCTGGTCTGGGGAGACTCTCCCAAATCCAGAAATAAACCTCCCTTCACTGGGATTCCTCCATGATATTGTAGTTTGAGACCTTTTCTCAGGAACTACGAAGATGGGACTGGCTATAAGCAGCTCTCTCCCCATCCCCATTCGTTTCTAAACTTAGCTGGCAGAGACCTTTATCTAGGAAGCCAAAGACCAGAAAAAACAGCTAGCTCAGCCTTTAGGGATAGGGGTGGAGCAGGGGCTGGTGGGAAGAGGAGAATGGTGGATGCTGGGGATAAAGCTGGGAGACAATGTGGATTTGTTTTCCAGCCACTGGGGCTATTTCCAGACTATTCTCTACCAATCAGCTTTAATCCCTCCCTAACCCATTCACATTGTCTGAGCTTAGTGAAAGGAGGGCTCTCTATCTTTTTCTGGAGCATGGAAGGGTTTAGTTTGGGAGGCTATGAAGGCAAGATAGAACTAATTTTTTTTTTTAATTGGAGCTGCAGGTAAATTCTGGGTGGATAGATGAAGAAGTAGTGGAAAGTTCATATCCTAGAGAGTCCTAAGATGTGTAAGTCCACTCCAGTAGCAGGCAGGAAGAGGGTGATGGCTGGAGACCCAAAGAGTCTGACTGGAAATTGGAGGGATGCTAAGAGAGGTAGGAATCCTCCTACACTCAGAGCAAGAAAAACACCTTTCAAAGACTCAGTGAATGATAAGAGGCAGAGGGACGGACAGAATGCCCTAGGCATGATATCCCTGATAGCACAAAGCTGCCTATGGCAGGCAGAGACTACAAGTCCCAGCATGCCCTGTGCCTAGGTCACATTGCCTGCTGGGAGGTGTAGTAGGGTAATAGAGAGCTTAAAGTGGCTTGGAGCCCAGCAGAGCTGGTGCCTAGTTGGGAGAAGAGGTGGAGCTGCATTCTTCTTTGTCCCTGCTAATGCTATTGACAGGGAGGGAAGGAAGTTGGGACCGGGTGTTCCTAGTTTTCAGTGTAAACCAGGAAACTCTGGGGGGATGTGGATGGGAGGGAAGAGGAAAGAGACTGGGGGCTGGGGAAGGAATTTCTGTAGCAGGTGGTGGAGAGATACTGAGTCACCTATGTGTACGGGGGGGTGTGTGTGTGTCTATGAGAGAGATTAGTTAACGTTGGCTCATTTTTTCAGGAGATGGGATTTTCTCATAATTCTGGGAAATGATCTTCAGAAAACCCTTTTGAAAAACCATTCTCTTATTTTGAAGTCACTAAAGAGAGTCTGTGTCAAAGAGGAGATCCCATTTATGTTCTGTGTTATGCCCCTTTGCTTTTCTGTACTCAGCCTCCCCTACCTTCTGATGGGTGGGATGGGGGAAGGGGTGATCTTGAGATTCTGAAATGTTGGTCCAGAATTAGGATTCTTGGAAAATCTTCCTGGAACAGAAAACAGTGCTGGAACTAGATCCTCTAAGGGGAAGAGGGAGAAACAAAGAGTTGGCTCTGAGCCCCAGGATCATGGGGAATCTGGACCACTATCCTACTCCTAGATCCTTGACCGCAGGCCCAGGGGAAAAAAGCAAGAATAAAGCCTCCTCCTTTTTTCCTCTTACAATTTCTACCTAGATGTGTGGGGGTGGCCACCAATGGGGGCCAAATAGTATGAAAATGTCAAGGAAGAGGGATGTGGCTTCCGAACAGAAGCTAGTTCTGAAATGGCTTGAATCTGGAAAACTCATCCGACCGTTGCCTTCCAGCAACTCTACTTGGCAGCCTCCTGAGACTGGTGGTGAACTCACACCCCAACCCAATCAGGCGCAGTCTCCCCTGCGCCTGGGCAGTGTGCGATTTAAGACACCAGAGGGCGTTGTGCCCCTTCCAAAGTTAAGCCGCGTGTTCTGAGCCCGAGGCGGTTTAACCTAAGCACAGGGCGCTAGGACGCGATGGGAGGGCTGCGGAGATATTTAGCCGAAACTCAGTTAAATGCAGGCCCATCTCCGACCTAAAGCTCGGTTCCCGTGCCGTCTGTATCCTTCATTCGACACACGAATGTGTCAAGCGCCCACGATGTCCCCAGCTCTGTGCCAGGCTCTGGGGGATACGATGGCAAAAAGGCAGGTTTCAGGAGTACCACGTAGACCCATTCCCTCCCTAGGATGGCCAACATCCCAACTCGGGTTCGCCCGGGCTGCCTCCTCTGCCCCCTCTCATCTCCACTCTTCTCTCCGTCAGGACGAAGTGAAGCTGCCGGCCAAACTGAGCATCAGCAAGTCGCTGAAGGAGGCGGAGGCGCTGCCCGAGAAGGAGGGCGACGAGCTGGGCGAGGGCGAGCAACCCGAGGAGGATGCGGGGGCGCTCGAGCTGTCCTCCGATGAGGCGGTGGAGGTGGAGGAGGTCATCGAGGAGTCGCGCGCCGAGCGCATCAAGCGCAGCGGCCTGCGGCGCGTGGACGACTTCAAGAAAGCCTTCTCCAAGGAGAAGATGGAGAAGACCAGGGTGCGCACCCGCGAGAACCTGGAGAAGACCCGCCTGAAGACCAAGGAGAATCTGGAGAAGACGCGGCACACCTTGGAGAAGCGCATGAACAAGCTGGGCACGCGTCTGGTCCCCGCCGAGCGGCGCGAGAAGCTCAAGACATCGCGAGACAAGCTGCGCAAGTCCTTCACGCCCGACCACGTGGTCTACGCGCGCTCCAAGACCGCGGTGTACAAGGTGCCGCCCTTCACCTTCCATGTCAAGAAGATCCGCGAGGGCGAGGTGGAGGTGCTGAAGGCCACCGAGATGGTGGAGGTGGGCGCCGACGACGACGAGGGCGGCGCGGAGCGCGGCGAGGGCGCCGACCTGCTGCGCGGGAGCAGCCCCGACGTGCACACGCTGCTGGAGATCACTGAGGAGTCAGACGCCGTGCTGGTGGACAAGAGTGACAGCGACTAAGCAGCGGGCCCTGCTCAGAGGCCTGTGCCTCGTCCTGCCTCTCCCTTCCCCCACCCTGTTCCTTTTCCTTTCTGAACTTTCTCTTTCGCATTCTCTCTCAGCTCCTGAACTGGTTAAGATTTTTCTAGATTTAAACCACCTGCCTTCAAGGAGACTCCTCTAAGTCTTACAGCTGTTAAGCCCAGAGAGGGAGGCAGCCTCACCCAAGTAGAAGACCCCAATTTGGACATAGTACAGGTGGAAATGGGAAGGGGAGTGATCCATGTCCTGGATGTCCAAGTCGGGGGTCCTAAAGGGAATTGACATGATTTACAGTTACTCCCCCTTTGGGGGCTTCCTTTCCCTCAACCTCTCTCAATCACTCCCTACTCATGGAGCTCTTCCCTTCTCATCCTGCCCGCCGGGGCTTCAAAGCTAAAATTACCCTAAGAGGAAAGAGTGGGTCCTACTGAAAGGACATGAAAGCAGCTTTTACGGGAGACTGAGGCAGTGGGCGACAGTGGGATCTGAGCAAGCCCTCGGTCTGGATGAGGGTCCAGCTCAGGCTGTTTTCTGCAAAGAATCCGAAGAAAGAAGACTGGAGCCCTGGGGAAGGAGGTGGGGCACCTTTACTTATTTATGCATCTGCACATGCGGAGCACATGGCGATGGCTTTGGGAAGGAGGTGGAAATGGGTGAAGAGAGAAAGAAGTCTCATTAGCTGCATGAGAAACCCCATCTTACCAGGTTTTCAGAAGGCAGCAGGACCATTTTCAGAATGGGGGCGGGGGGAGAATAGTATGAGAAAGTGATGATCCAGAGAAAGAGAGGTAAGCCTAACCTGATCTTGCAACTGGGGTCTGGGTGGTGCCGCCGAGGGCAGCTTATTTCTGGAAGCCCAGAAAGTTAGGGCAGAGAGGGCAGCAGTGCTGGGATTTAGAGGGTGGGGAGTGCTAACGGCCAGGCCACCAAGCGGAGAGATGGGACAGCACAGGCTCCCCCCAGCTGTTTCTTCTCCAGAGGCTTCCTTAGAGCTAGCATCCCAGAGCTGCAGACCTTGCTGAGACACCACTGATAACTTGTTCTTAGGGGTTAGGAGGGTGCTGCTTCCAGTCCAGAGCCCTGATGTCTTGTCTGTCAACTAGGTTCCCCTCAGGACACTTCGGTCCCGCTCTTCTCTCCCCTTAAGGCAGTTAGGAGCAAGGACAGCCCCTCCCTCCAAGTCTCAGCCTGAAGGGAGGGGTGGAGTGCTTCCTCCTCCTCCTCCAACCCCCTTATCTTTCCTGCTCTGCTTTTTAGAATTGCAGCTAATTGTTTTAAGGGGGTGGGGGAGGGAGCCTGGGGACACAAACCTTTTATACAATACAAAGCTTTGCTTTTTTTTTTTCCTTTCCTTTTCCTTTACTGGGTTCCCATCTCTCTGAATGATTGAAGACTTGTCAGCTGAGAGAGGACGGAGATTGTGGGACAAAGTCCTTTGGTGCTGATGGGCTGAAGGGGGCTGAGTGTGGGCAGATGCAGTTTTCCATGGGGAACCTCTCACGTTGCTGTGTCCTGGTGAGCAGCCTGACCAATAAACCTGCTTTTGTAACAGTATCTGTGTTGGATTGTATTCTCTGAAGGCAGTTACATAGGATGAGTTACAGAGGATAGGAGAGAGAACTGTTGGTATAAATTTGCC